TTCCCAATAAATAAACTATCCTAGAATCTTAAAAATTTCATGGTCAAGAATGTTATCTCTATAATCCAATTTTACATTCATATATTATCCTGAAACAATCAAAGAAATATACTTGAAGTTTAAAATAATTCTGAAATATAAATGCATATTTATGCCTAACCAAACCTGTATAGAATTGCAAGATAGGTAGGAAGACAAATCACTGAGAGAAAATATCACAGAAACCTGATGAATTATGAAAGTATTATTAACATTCTAATGGCTCAACATCCTAAGGGGTAAAATTGTCAGTTATTTACAACTTAATTCACTGGAATAATGAAATTCCCAGCAGTCATTCTTTATAGTTGTGTGTAAATCTGATGTAAAATTTTTATAAAATATAAAGGACTTCAAATTTCTAAGGAATTTTGAAAGGAATGACTAAATTTATCAAATTTCAAGACTTAGAGTTTCAATAATTAAAATACTGTAGTGTAAGCAAAGCAAGGTAAGACACACCCACACAAACAAAACAAAAACAGACTCCCCTGCACTTCACTTCCAGCAGCGGCACTCTTCACTGCATGGAGGGGAGTCTGAAGAAGCTTCCAGAAGGAAACCCAAACAGTTCTAGTGACTAGAGACAGGAATCCTAACTTCAGAAACAGCCCACAGCCCTGACAAGCCTCAAAACTGTTTGTGGCTTTTGGTGAGGGGCTGAAGTCCTCCCGTGGACGGGTCAGCAGTGGAGGGGAATCCTGCTGGAAAAAAATAAAATTTAAGAAACAAAAACAAAAACAAAAACATAATACAGAATATTGTAGAACTGATCCATACATATGATCAGTTATTTTTCTCCTTGTTACAATGCAGGTTAATGGAAGAACATAGTTGTGGTGTTTGGCATGAAATTGATCCCAATTGGGTCATATGTTTGAATACTTAGTCTCCAGTTTTTTAAACTATTTGGAAAAATTAGAAAGTGTGGACTAGTTGTTTTAAGTATGTCACTGGGAGTTTGAATTGAGGTTTTATTTCCAATGTAACCTCTCTGATGCTTCCACATATCCCTGTCACTTACTAGTTCATCTCAGCCATGATGAACTCTAACCATCTGAAATTGCAAGTCACCCCCCTTAAAAATCTCATTGTTTTTATAAGTTGACGTGGTCATTATTCTTATACAACAATAGAAAAGTATAACCTACCATAGGCTTTCCAAGAAATAGTGAGATATTTGGAAATGCACATTGCATTAGTTACCTTTCTTGTGCCTGTGACAAATTCCATGACAAAATAAGCTTAAGGTTTTCATTGGCTCATGGTTTAAGGAAATAAATTTCATCATGGCATGATACTGAGAATTTTGCAGCCAATAACCATGGAACCATGTTTAGGAATCAAGGAAGATTTTTGGTGCTCCAATCTCTTCCTCATTTTAGTCTGAAATAAAGCAAGCATAAGGTACTCATGCAGGGTGGATCTTCTCTCCCCCAATTAAACCCCTCCCAAAACACCTGAGCATACAGACCCTGAGGAATATTTCCTAGCTGATATCAAACTCACTCAAGTTAACAATGAAGATTACCTATCACTTGAACCAAAATTGACTGCATTTAACCAAATTATTTCAGCTTTGGACATTCCAATTTTGCAGTCATCATAAAATACAAGGTTCATCTAGCTGATCAGTAGTAGTCACTGAAATCAGAGTGCATCTTGTTCATCTATGAGATACAATCACACAGTTCTAATATGTTTATAAAAGGCAATGCCCAGTATTTTATCTGAGACATAAGGATTATCTTCACAGAACAAGAAGAAGTAAATGGGTGGAGATGGAGTGAGGGCATGATGTGATTACATTGTGCTAAAAGTAATTACTATGAAAAATTAAATTATTCTTACAATATGCAATGTCAAAGAGTGTATTTATTCATTTCAAAAGGGAGAAGTGGGCATAGCAAGACAAAATTGGAACACATGAAGACAGAAACTCAGAAAGCCCAACATTAAATCCAAGAAGATCTGTTTCTTTACTTTGGTCCTGATAGCATCAGCTGGTTTATAATAGGATTAATCAGCCCTACCTTGAAGTCCCCCCACCTGGTGATACATGTACTTTCTCTCTAATACCAATTGTTCTCTGCTTCTATAGCTGAGGAGTCAGTGGTTGTTCCCGTGTTCATATCTCTTAGATTCTTGTCATTTAGCCTTCTCAGCTGAATCTGATTGAAAACACTTCCCTGATAGTGATTGGAATCTTTCCGCAGCATTCTCCATTCTTTCTTTTCTTATAAATTTACATACTTAAAACTGAAGTCCCAAAGGAAGTGCAATCACACCACAAGGACACTTTCTTACTATTTCATAGTAAAATTATTTGTAATAGCCAGAACCTGGAATCAACCTATGTGTCCCTCAGCTGAAGAATGGAAAAGGGAAATGTGGTATATTAATGGAGTACTACTCATCTGAAAAACAAACAAACAAACAAACAAAAAATGATGACCTCATGAAATTTGCAGGCAAATGAATAGATCTAGGAAAAAAATCATTTTAAGTGAGGTAACTCAGACCCAGATAGATAAACATGGTATGTACTCACTCAAAGTTGATTATTATGAGTTAAGGATAGAATAACCAACCTACAATACACTTCCCCAGAGAGGGATGGATAGATATCAAGAAGGACCCAAAGAGGGATGAGTGGATTTCCCTGAGAAGAAGTAGAAAAGATTTTGTGGGTATGCTGGTAGTGGGTGTTGTGTAATGGAGGGATGGGAAATAGAGGGAGCAAGTTGGGCAGGTTGGGTACAGGAGGTGTGTTAGAGGCAGGATAGATGGAGAAAGTAATAAGAGACATCTTTGTCGAGGGTTTTGTATAGGTAGGGAGAAGCCTGGTGCCAGGAAAACCCCAAGGAACCCAGATGATAATGGTGGAAAGGGGGCCTAAACTCACTACCTACTGGAAGCCGATTGGTATTTTCCTGATGGGGGATGTTCTTCTGTATATATGTTTCTCTGATTAGTTGATGAATAAAACACTTATTGGCAAGTAACCAGGCCAGAAGGATAGGCAGGGCTAATAGACAAGGAAAAGGCTGGAGAGAGGAAGGCAGAGGAGAGCCGCTAGAGGCATGCCATTCCGTGTAGAGGCAGGAGTAACATTCTGGGACATGACCAGGTAAGCCAAGAGCATATGAAAATACTTAGATTAATAGAAATGGGCAAATAATTAATAGACAGTTAGCCAGTAAGAATCCCTAGCCATCGGCCCAACAGTTTATAAATTAATATAAGTCTTTGTGTATTTATTTGGGGCTATTTGGTTGTGGGACCAATTGGAACACAGACAAGCACAGGTGTGAGCTCCAGGAGTCCCATGAAAGAAAGAGAGGAGTAATTGTACCAGCCAATGAGTCATGACAGGGGAACCCACAGAGACAGCAGATCTGAGCTCCTGGGAGCTCATGGAGTCAGGGAGATTGAATGGGACAGACCTAGGCCCTCTGCATACGTGTGACAATCATATAGCTTGGTGTCTTTGTAAGCCTTCTAACAGTGAGAGGAGGAACTCTCCCTGACTCTTAGTTAGCTTTTGGTAACCAGTTCAGAATGCTGGATTACCTGGCCCTGCCTGGACATAAGGGGAGGAGATTGATCCTGACTCAATTGATGCACCATGCTATGTTCAAGCCCATGGGATGTCTGTCCCTTTCTAAATGGAGATGTAGAACTGGATGGGGAGCAAAGCAGATTGGAAAGGGAGGGCATAGGAGGAGAGGAAGGAGGGGATACTGGTTGATATGTAAAATAAATGGAAAAATGTTATTTAAATAAAATCAGATTTTTTAAAAAAGTGGAGTCTTCCACGGGTGGATTGTTTCCTTCAGATTATATTTCCAATACTTTCAATGATAAGTGAAAGAGTCTCCTTATTTTCTTTAACAATTATAACTCCCTGGACTTATTTAAACTTATTCACACTTGCCCAATCATCCTCCCATGAGACCACTCACGAAGAGAAATCATGTAAAGCACCAATATGTTATGCATGCCCTTCATACAATATTAAGTCATGGAAATAAGACACTTTGGAAATAGATGGCATAACACACTAGGAATAAATGACTCCACCTCCAGTCAATATTGGTCTGCAATGCAATGAGAGGATAGGATGTGAAAAACTTCCATATTGAGTGTCCTCCCAAATTCCTAACTCAGAAATATATGAGAGACAATTTATGTTTTAATTCTTAGATGATGCATGTAATAGCCTTTGCTTAGGAGTGAATGGTTGTGATAAACTGAATGTGATAGAGACATTAAAAGAGAGAAAATACTGACAGCTGAATTGTTTTCATTAAAGTATGAAACACTGTAAACCTCAAATATTATGAGCACAGGGGAATGCAAACTTTCTAACTTATTATGGGAAGGTGGTTTTAAATATGGAATATTAACATGGATCCAGAATACAGATGTAGCATGATTTTTCAGTAATGTTTACATTGTAGATATTTTAAGGTTGGAATTTTGCAGCATTCAATGGAAATGACATGCAATTTTAAGGCTTCCTCTTTCTCTATAATATCTTTGCAATGCCAGTTACGACTTCTGAGTGATGATTCCAGTAACAAGAACAACAAAAGATATTAGTATTGATGTTATCAAAATAAAAGGTTACAGACCCCCACAAAACATCAAAAGATTTTACAGGATTGAGGCTAGTATCAGTTATAAATACTAATATCAATGCATGTAGAGATGCAATAGAATGTTCAAAGTCATACTGAAGTAATGTATTCTATGGTGCTCATTTCAAAAAAATTAACAGATAAGGAAAGTGATTACCAACACACAATCTGTGGCATACAGCTATAGAGTAGGAGTTTAAACATAACATGTATTACTGGTAGTAGCAGCATTTGGTGATCATCTAAGAAATCAATGAAAAAATAAGATTATTATAACCAAACAGAAGTGTGAAATATTTTCTTTCAATTTTCAACTAGATATTCAATTGACAGAAACACAGATTTGGAGAGATATTTCAATATTGATGCTAACAGTGGAGTTATTACTACTGCCAAATCATTGGATCGAGAGACAAATGCTGTTCATAACATTACAGTCCTTGCAATGGAAAGCCGTAAGTTGAAAGGTTTGAAATGATATTAAGATGAAGTAAGGTGAAAATAAACAATGTGTATTTATGAGTCAAGATCAATTTAAACCGTGATAGTTGTTTGACTAAATTGGACAAACCTCAAAAAGTCCCAAATGACTAAATTGTAGAATACTTACAGATTTACTGTTTTCATTTGCTGATATTTAAAGTTAATTCAAAATATAAAAATGTAAAGGTTGATAGGTGTGAATTGCCTTCTGAAACTGTTTTATTTTACATTCTAGATATTGCCTTTATCCAGATAGGAAGTTATTTGATCTTTACCAACACACATAGATATGAATGTTCTGACACTGAACTAATTTAGTATATGAAAGAATTTAAGAGAAAATACAACTATATTGTTAGAATATGTAGTATTTTATAAAATACTTAGAAAAACATGTAAATAGAATATGCTAGTACTAACTTAATATGAACTATGGCATCATTGAGTTGAATTTGTTGGTTCACTGTTCCTCATTCATCATTTTTCTTGTCATGGGCTGGACACACATGCACACATATATACATACATGTATATACATATTTCTACCAAATACATGAATATAGATAACACACAATTGTACATTATATACAAACACATAAAATGTATGCTTGAATATATTCATATCTAAATTAATGAATTTAGATTATCAGATTATATGTGGTTCTTTTTAGAAAGTATAGAATCATAAAGACAGTTTTCATTTGACTTTAGAAAAGGAAGGTTTTCAATTTTTTCTTGATTTTAATTTTCTTTTATGAAATAGCAAGAGTGTGCTGAGAATTCTATCAGAGTTAATTAGAGAACATGTTCTTATCTTCTAGAGAATCCGTCTCAAGTTGGGAGAGGCTATGTGGCTATCACTATCCTGGACATTAATGACAATGCACCTGAGTTTGCCATGGACTATGAAACAACTGTCTGTGAAAACGCTCAGCCTGGGCAGGTGAGAGCTTTGAATCACTACTTCTTTGACCAGAGTTTCTTTAAAAACATCCAGCAGTGGTGTTTTTTATAACATTTTTAAAATACCTCACAATCTGCCTTTTTCAGTAAAGCTAGCACTTTGATATGTAGCACAAAATAATATTAAAAGAACTTTCAAATTCCGGTTTAATTGGCTATGAAAATTCCTCAGGAAGAGAAGATAAACATTGTAAAAAGCCCTGTAGCATGTTTTAATGCTTGGATACCTTAAAGAAGAAATAAGGCATATTAAGATTGATTAGGTTATTTCTTACATTACATTATGCAGCAGAATTTAATGCCTTGACTTCTAAGAATTAAGTGCAGTACAAAGTGGCCTTGGCTTGTCCATCTGTATTACTCAGAGTTGTGTGCTGTTTACTATGACTAATCAATTATTACAACTTGTTTTTGTGGTTCAAAAATGTAAGTTGAAACAGGCAATTTGAAAAGGACATGGTTTGTTTTCTGGAGCCTGTTTTACATTGAGTTGAAGTTTGTACACCTGATCCATTGCCCACACTCATTTGGGAGAATAACTTTTCTGATGAGGTGTAAAATCACTGTGTCCTGCTCTAGAAATCACAGCAGAGAGCATAAGTGCCTTTTTCTCTACCTAGGTTATCCAGAAAATCAGTGCTGTTGATAAAGATGAGCCATCCAATGGACACCAGTTTTATTTCAGCTTAACAACAGACACAACAAATAACCACAACTTTTCACTTAAAGATAACAAAGGTAAGACAAGGACATTAATTAAAAGGCAATGAATTCCTTGAGTAATTTTTATCCATGAATTTGCTATCATGGAGAAAAAACTGCTATTTAAATCATTTTCGGGCATAAAACAAAATGCGAAAAGTTAGGTGTATTTCTCTTGTCTTTCTCCTGGATAGTTGCCTCCCATTTATATGTCATGCTCTTTATTTAGATGATATTATATTTTAAAGGTCTTCTAAGATCTTTCATAAGGATGGTGGTATGTCAACACTACTTGAGACCTCAGAAAATAATTGGATTATATACATTTCAACTTAAATCAATATTGGCACAATAGTCTCAATAATAATAATTTTATTTTTACATAAAATAAATGTTATAAGTGTAAAATCTAATAATAAATATAATTCAGAATAAGATAAAACAGCAAATAATAATAAAAATACTCCCTCTCATTTCATTTAATTTTCTTGCTTTAAAGTCAGCTACTCCTATCAAGTCTTAAGTGTAATTATAAGGATGCTCTATAAGTAACTTTAAGCAGGTTCCTGATTTCCCTAATACACTTTAAAAACTATAAGACCTTCCAAAGGAAGCATTAGACTTTACTCTTACTTATTATAAAGCTTTTCAGGTGAATCAGGTTTCAGTTTTAAAATAAAGACTAAAATGGCTTACCAGAACAGACATGCTTTCAGATGAAATTTATCAAGTCTTTTGCCCAAGGCCACAACTTTAGTGCAAAAATTGTGATCTTCGCCAGGAAAATTCAATCTGAAAGTAATTTTTTTTTTATTCCATTCTCGACCTAATGAGAACACTCTGTTTTCCCTTTAGTGATATAAGGGAAGAACATTCTCTGAGTGAGTAATCCCAAACTCTCTGACTTAATCATTGTTGGAAAGGTTCACTCTAAGTTCTTGGAGTCATTTACCACAGATGCTAAATGACAGGGGAATATAGGATCTTCACAAGGAGATGGTGAATATATCCCATATGTCACACAGTCTAATAGCATCAATATTTCTGTATAACATGTACAAGAAAATGTCTGGATTTATGAGGCATTCATATTGCCACACAGCTGGAAATGTCCCTATGCCACATACAGCAAGCCCGATGTTCCCTAGGCAGAACGTTGAAGGTTATCAAAAGAATAGGTAGAAATCATCCATGTTGCCTTCCACATTAGAAAAGGAAATACAGAGGATCATATATTCTACAACTCTTTGTTGATCACAGCATTCTTTTTTCACATGCTGAGCATGTGGCCTCTGCTTCTCAATTCAATGTTTGTTACATTGTGTGTTTCTGCTTTTGTGTCTGTGTGTGAATGATTTTTATATCAGTCATGTTAGACTAACAATATCAATTGTAAGAATATGTTCCTTATATTCATAATGATGATTAATATCAACATTGGTGCACATCAGAACATCAGCCTGTGTATTATGAAGTATACAGAAACTTAAAATATATCTGTAAACAATTCCATGTTTAATTCATTAGCCACCAAGTGCATTTTACAAATCCATATTGTATGATTAAATATTTTAAAACATTAATATTTGGTAAACATTTCAAAATCTACATATGTGAAAATATATTAATTACAAACAATAGTAATGTTTTATTTTGTCCAATCTAAAATTACTGTTATCTTTTTTTTTGCTACAGTTGAATATGAGCTTATTGCTCTGTACTGCTTAAGGCAGGAATGAGGTCAGCTTGGTTTCTTTAAATATTATTGAATTTTTCATGTCAATAATGGATTAGCAAGTTTTAAACTATTTAGTATTTATATACTATATGACAGTATATTCCTGATTTATTTTCTTTTTTATTATTTTTGCTTAGTTGTAATTCTAAAAATATCATTAATTCTAATTAGATAATTCAGAGAAAAAACAGAGAAATACCCTCAAATTAAATGTATTGCTATAATATAAATTTTTATATGAACATATTAATCACCTTTCCATTGTTAAAGTTACTTTAACTTTCTTAGATGAGACAGAATATTGAATACTAATTAAGTTCTGTTATTAATAAAATATTTCAAAATGTTGCTTGAGAAAGTGTTAAAAATAAAATGATTTGTAAAATTTATTCACTAATTCCCATTTTGAATATCTGTGTCAAAAATGTGCTGTTTATTGATTTTTTTCATTTATTGTTGGGCCATATCTATGATGGTAGTCCCATAAGATTATATCAACTAATGAAATGAAAACATCTTATTTTATGCTAGTAAACCATGATGTGAACACAGGAATTGGCCTGGCTCATTTCTCAGAGAATATTCCCTAGTTCAGTGATACTTGATTGCATAATCAATTTAAATATAACTATATTATCTTATTTTCTTTATTGATCTTGAGAACTGTCAAACAAGTGGTAGAATAAAATGATACTAGAAAAGAAACATATACCAACTGACAACTTTTACCAATCTTCCCCTAAGTATATGATTTGAAATTTTAGATATATAAAAATTTATAAAAATTCCATTTAATAAAACATTTAATTTTACATTATGACTATTTCTTTGGCTATCTATAGAAGAACAGAAATACCTTAAGTAGCTGGGCATTGGTGGAGCACTCCTTTAATCCCAGCACTGGGGAGGCAGAGGCAGGCATATCTCTGTGAGTTCCAGGCCAGCTTGGTCTCCAGAGTGAGTGCCAGGATAGGCTCCAAAGCTACACAGAGAAACCCTGTCTCGAAAAAACTAACAAACAAACAAAAAACAAAACAAAACAACAAAAACTGAAATTTAATTCCATAGGAAATATGCCTCTTTGTTCAAGGAGATTTACCATGGGATATTGAAAAAAATATATGCCACATCAATTTTACAATTAAGGAGCAACATGAAAAGAATGACTCCAATTTTGGAAAGATAAAGTATATCAGAAAGCTTGTTATACCTTTTTGTTCTTCATCTTAGACAACACAGCCTCAATACTCACCAGGAGAAATGGCTTCCGCAGACAGGAGCAATCAATTTACTACCTGCCAATTTTCATTGTGGACAGTGGATCCCCTTCACTAAGCAGTACCAACACGCTTACCATCCGTGTCTGTGACTGTGATGCTGATGGTGTAGCACAGACCTGCAATGCAGAGGCCTATGTTCTACCCGCTGGCCTCAGCACTGGGGCCCTGATAGCAATACTGGCCTGTGTATTGACACTATTGGGTAGGTACTGTTTTCTTTTTCTTGCTTTATAGAGTAGTTTCCAAAATAAAATTAGACCAAAGGTTTTCTTAATTCATTTTCATTTCTTTTGGGTATCTTTTCCAGGATATGTTAATAATTTACCAGATGCTGTTATGGTAACAATCACTACTACTTATCTGTTCTATTTAGCAGTGCTTTAAAAGTATAATACATAATAAAAATTTAAGCTTCATTTTCAGAATACAGCACAGGGTAAATCATCTGAACTTCTATTAATACTTTTCAATAATTGAGTTATAGATTTAAATTTATTTTCCTGTTTGAAAATTATCTACATGAGCACTATGTGTATATGTTGTGGCTGGGGGGTGCGTGCGTGTTTGTGTGGGTGGGTGGGTGGGGGTGTATGTGTGTGATGTATTTGTGTGCATTTGTGTGGTGTTTGAGGGCATGTTCATGTATGTGTATGTCATGTGTATGTGTGAGTGTGTGGGATGGGGGATGTTCTTCTTTCTTTATGTTTATTTGGAGCTAAATGGCTACAAGACCTGGTGGGACAGAAATCACATCTACCGTGTGTTTGTGGTGTGTCTGTGTGTGTGAGAGTGCATCTGTGTCTGTGTGTATGGTTTATATATATATATATATGTATGTGTGTTTTGACATGGGTGATTGTAAGCGTAACTAGTATTCAAGTAATTTCTGGCATGTCACCTGAGAATTAGAAAAGGCACTTGTGTTTCTTATTATCAATTTTTTTGTGCATTGCATTGTGTTTATTGTTTTAAGTTTCTGTGGATTCACCAAAGTCTCAGTCAAAGCAGAATGTTTTCATACTGACACAAAGTTTTCACACAAAGGCTCTACCTACAACAATTGATATCTACAGGGAAAATATATAATAGCCAGTATCTTACACAATCACTCTTTCAGATTGTTATTCTAATCTTTAAATTTTATAACCTAACTTGGAGGTAACAAGTAATTAGAAATTTTGTAGTCTTTTCTGTCTGCCTCCACTATTATAAACTGGAATTTGACATGAAAAATTTTTGACATTTTTTTTATTTTAAAGCAATCTTTTCATTTTACATACCAAATCCAATCCCCACTCCCTCCCTTCCTCTTGCTCTCCCTACATCCACCCTACCCTATCCCATCCACCCTAGTGCTTGAACTGGCATTTTAGACTCCATTCTTTTTGGTAGGATATCTTGTTCAGCCTAGATATAGGGTTGGGTGGTGGACATGGTCCTTCTTCATAGAGATGTGCCAGACTTCATTTACTACCCAGGACATGATCAGTTTTGAAGCCAATGGAATTCACTTTTTCACAGGTGTGAAGGTGGAGTACGTATCCTGGAAAGTGTCTGACTCAAATAAACAAATGGCTCATTTTTATAACATATCATAAAGTAATGCAAATTTAGGCTTTAGATGCTAGAAGCCAAAATTTTCTGCACCTTCTGAACTTATGAACCAAACTTTTTTATACAAATGAAGGAAAGGAATTGCCCCTGATAATCAAGAACTTGAGACTGATGTTCATTTAAGGAGGAAATTGTAGTAGACTCTGGGCTAGAAATTCTAATAAAGAAAAATACTTTCCTAGGGGTCAACATTCTCTTTCTGTGATGTAACAGATTGAAGTTAATTTAAAAAATGATATATTGAATTATTAGAATTGTAATACTGAAAAGTATCCCAGAAATGAATCCTAACCTTGAGCCTATACTAGGAAGAAGCAAGGATTCCTTATTCTCAGTTATAGCTTTGTTTGTTTCATATTTTTAAATTGAAAATAGATCATTTCTCTTATAATATATATCCCTATTAAAATTTCCACTCTCTATGCTCTTCTCAGTTACTCTCAACCTCCCCTCTTCTCTGGATCAACTTCTTCCCTGCCTTTCTTTACAAAAGAAGAGGTTTCACTAGAGTGTCCAGTCTCTGGATCCTGGCCTTATGTGGCAAGCTGGACCATTCATTAGTTGGTCACTCCCACAATTTCTGCATAATCTTTAATAAGCTGTTCTTGGAGTTAAGAGAAATTGTAGACTGAGGGGTTCATGACTGGGTCGATGTTCCAGTTCCTCCAGAAGTCGTGCCTGGTTACAGGAAATGGGCAGTTCAGGCTCCATATTCCCTACTGCTGGGAGTCTTATCTAGAATTATCCTCATAGATTCCTGGGTCTTCCATTACACTAGGTTTCTAGATCATCTCAGAGATGCACCCAGATTCCAATTCCCTCTCCCTCCTGCTTCCCCCAACCCAATCTTTCCTATTCCAATACCCATGCCCCTATCCAGGTCTTTCCCCACATCCATAGGCAGAGTAAAAGATGGAATGACCAAAGAATCAATCAAATGGTTCCTAATGATATTCTTCTATGCTCATAGATTGGTGTCCATCCAAACTGTCATCATCGAGGCTTCACCCAATACCTGATGGATATAGATGTGGAGACCCACAGCCAAACATTGAGCAATACTCTGGGAATCTTGTGGATGAGGGGGAGGAAGGAATCTAGAACTCAGTGATGTCCAGGTCACCACAAGGAAACCCACAGAGCCAACTAACCTTGGCTCCTAGAGGTTAACATATATTTAACCAAGAACCATAGTGCCTCCATGAAACTGTCCTGGGCTCTCTGCATATATTATAGTGTTATGTAGCTTGGTCTTCTTGTGGTAATCCTAACAGTGGGAGAAGGGGCTGTCTCTTACTCTGTTGCCTGCTTTTGGGATCCATTCTTCTTATTGGTTAACTCATTTAGTCTTAATAGAACAGAAGATATCTAGTCTCACTGCAACTTAATATACCATGGCTTGCTGGTATCAATTGGATGCCCATCTGAATCTGAAAAGAAACAGTGCAGGAGAAGTGAATGTAGGTGTGTTTTGTGGGAGGAACTTGGAACAAGGAAAAGAGGGGAAACTTTACTTGTGATATAAAAACCAAAATGAAATTAACAACAAACAAGCAGAATAACAAAACAAAAGGAAAGAACTGGCTTCTAAGAAATAGCAAAATATAACAACACAATATATCTTAAGATGAAGCAAAAACAATAATATTAAAGTTTAACATGGCAATACAACAGGAGAAAAGGAGGTCCAAGAGCAGGCAAAAGAGTCAGAGATCCATTTGTTCTCACAGACAGAAGTCCCATAAAAACACTAAACCAATAAATATAGTATATTTGCACCGAACCTGCTGCAGGCCAATGTAGCGCTGTGTGTGTGTGTGTGTGTGTGTGTGTGTGTGTGTGTGTGTGTGTGTGTGTGTGTGTGTTGTTTCTTTCTCTGTGAGATAATTTTTACATTGCTTAGTTGATTCAGAGGACCTTGTTCTTCTGGTGTTCTCTATCTCCTCTGGCTCTTATACTCTGCCTTTTCTTCCATGGAAATCTCTGAGCTTTGAAGGAAGGAACTTTATGGAAATATCCCATTTAGACTGTCTTCCCATAATGTCTGCTAGTAGGTCTTTGTATTTATCACTATCTGCTGTTGAAGAATTGCTCTCTGATGATGAGTGGAGAATGCACTTATCTAAGAGTGTAGTGACTTATCATAAGAAATAATTTATTGATTTTTAGACCAGTTGTATTTGGATTTACCTATGTCTCCGAAGTATTTAATTTCTGGTTCCTGGTTACCAAAACAGTGTTTGGTATTGGTTTCTTCTTGTGGAGAATGTCTTAAGTCAAATCAGATATTGATTGGCTGTTCCAACTAGTTCTATGCTATAATTGCTCTAGCATATTTTGTACTAGGTTTCCACTTCACTGAGCTTCAACACAGCACCCTGCTATCTCTGTACTATCTCCCTTGAGCCCACCATACCTCACCTTACCCCTAATCCTCTACTGTCTCTATGCTGCCTCTAAAATCTATTTTATGTTCCCCTCTAAAAGAGATCATGCATCCTTTCTCAACGCCTCCTCTTCTTCTAACCTGTCTGGGTCTACCGATTGTTCTTAGTTATCATTTATTTAGTGTTTAATATCTGTTTAAGAGTCAATATATGCCATATATGTCTTTCTGAGTCTGCCTTACCTAACTCTATTGTCTTTAACTTGTTCCATTCATTTGCAAGTGTATTTCATCATCCCATTTTTTAAACAGTGAAATAATACTCCTTTGTGTAATTGAACCACATTCTCTTGATCCATTCTTCTGATGAGAGACATCTTGTTTTTTTTCTAGTTTCTGGCTATTATTCATAAAACTACAATGAACCTGGTTGAGCAAGTGTCCTTGTTGTAGGACAGAATGTCCTTTTGGTATAAACCCAAGAGTGGAATACCAGGGTCTTAAAGTAGATCAATCCCCAAATTTTTCAGGAACTATTTCATTGATGTCCATAGTGACTGCACATGTTCTCACTCCCAGGAGGAATGGAAGAGTATTCCCCTTGCTCCACATCCTCACCATAATGAACTCCCATATATTATTGATCTTAGCTATTCTGATAGGTGTAAGATGGAAACTAAACCTTGTTATGACTTTTATCTTGGTTATGGATAAAGATGTTGGACATTCCTTTAAGTGTTTCTTAGCTATTGATATTAGTCTACTGAAAATTTTGTGTTTATATCTTAGTTGTATTACTTGGCATTTAATATGTAGTTTTTGAGTTCTTTATATATTTTGAATATGAGTTGTCTGTCATATGGGGAATTGCTAAGAATATTTTCCCATTCTGTGGGTTGTTTCTTTGTCCAATTGATGATATTCTTTACATTGCAGAAGGTTTTGAATTTCATGAGGTTGCATTTATCAGTTGTTGATATTATTGCCTGTTCTTTTGGTCATCTGTTCAGAAATTCATCTCTTGTACAAATAAATTCAAGGTTATTCCCCACTTTCTCTTCTATCTGGCTCAGTACATGTGGTTCCATATTGCTTTTTATAGAAATATATTTTATAATATGTGATTATTTTTATTTTATGCATATGGATGTTTTGAGGGCATGCATTTGTGTAATAAATATATACAAACAGAGGCCAGGAAA